TTTACATGACCTACATGTCATTTGCCTGCCTAAATACTGATAGTATGATTACAGCACACGAACTGGGTTTTGTAATAATTGAAGTTAAAATCAAAATTTCAAAATAACTTCGTGTGTTTGTGATTTTGTAGGCCCTATGCCTAGTAACCGTTGCCGTAGCGTCTACAAAAACACAGGACAGTTCAAAAACTAAGAGCCGTTGGTGCCATTTTATAGTGTTCCGGAATTAAACAGGACACCTTTCGGTATTAAATATAACTGTTGAGATAAACTTATAATGGAATGACAACGATATGATTTAATTATAATAGTTTACGAGTGCGAGTGAAATATTGTACGAGTGCATCGAGTTAAACAACTTTTCAAGTTGTGCTAAAAATAGCCGCATAGAGCAACTTTGAAGTAAGAATTATTGCTAATAAGTTATGATTACATGTTTAAGAGTGGACATACAAACCAATGTGATGTTTATGTTGAAGATATGCTGCCGATTTCGTTCGTATAAGTCCTAGTTTGGTCGTATCATGTCACAGTGGCCTTCGAAGCAGGCGGGAAGCGTAACCGTACAATTTGTATCACACATCCTCCCGCAGGATATATTCCGGTTAAAAGAACGCGTTTTATGTAATATTAAAGAAAAGTTCTATACCAATACGGATTAATTTTCTATTTAGTTTAGGCTATCGGATGATAACTACAATGGAGCTCGGGTAAATTAATCATAGTCGGCTTCGCCAATTATTCAATTTACCCGAGTTCCATTGCAGTTATCACCCGATAACTTTAACTAAATAGAAAGTTAATCCATCAATAACAATCTACTTTCAGGTGGAGCTATAATAGTTTGAGTATCTACCTTGGCGAACAGCTTCACCTTGATTTCCTGTTGACTGAGGTTGACCGTTCTCCTAGTCTTCGATCTCTTCTGTCGATTGCCCGGTGGTGACGTTAACATCCTCCTGAGGGCGGGTGCCCTAGTCCACTTGTTTCAGATGGCTTAGCCTAGATTCCATTACTTCATTACCGGTGTGCAACTTCTCTGTTTGTTTGAGAAGGTCATTGTTTTCTTTTTCCAACGAAGCTATCAAGTAAAATAATAAAAAGAATGCATCATTGTAAACATAATAGGAAAAAACACACCATAAAATCAATGTATTTACCACACTATGGTATTGCCATTTTACAGCCTTGCCAGGAAATATCTAATGAAAACGTCCTTTAAAAGAGGAATGTTGGATATAAATGTTGTGAAAAAAGTAAATTTAATCTACATTGGTTATTGCCAATTCTTGTTGTGCGTCCCTGCAGGCAGAGCGTAAGAATTGTACCTGCTGCCCCATTGCATGATCGTAAGAGGCCAGTAAATTTGGGATCTTATCTTTTCTCTTCTTTTTAAACAATTTCTTCTTCGTAATGTCTCCCTTGACAACGCCTAACTTTTGGCCTCGCCCTTATGAGGAAGGTTTTGGGTTATGTCCCCTTGCCGAGACATACCAGAATCTGTGTAAATGGTAGTTTCTGCTCCTGATTAACGCTCAGCAGTTTAAGAGCGGGACGACTGGTTCGCCCGTTGTCATTATACTGTGACCGTAAGGGATGTGCTGCTGGGTGTCTTTGGCAGTATGTTTATTCAGTGAGGTAGCACTATAAAGTCGGCATCAGTTCCGCACTATCGCAGCCTCCCAAAACACACACGCATACACTTCACGCATGCATCTTGCACAAAAGGGAGGTCGTCCTTCAATGACCATAGCTGTTGATAGGACGTTGAACAATACTAAACCAAACCAAACCAATCTTGTTGTGCTGTAGGTAAATATAAAGATGTGTGACTGAAGAAGAGGAGACTGTGGCATATATAATTTGAAATGATAGTAACAGGACAAATGCATTGAAAAAAGGTTTTGAAATTCTTCTTGCTGAA